TCCTCAAATCACGTGAATACTGTTACTCTCTCAATTTTATAGCTGAGTAATACTGAGGCACAAAGAAGTTAGGCAAATTGTTCAAGGTCCCACAGCAATTTAAATTCAGGCTAGATGAATTGAAAACCCATGCATTTAACTCTTTTACTACAGTCAGTGGAGTGCACTCAGGCAGCAGGAGCCCACTTGCATACAGAGTGACTCATTTATAGAATGATAATGAGTGACCACTGCCAACTTCTCTGTTGCATTGCATCACTGCAAGTGTGTGTACATGCACATGCATACACATACACACATACACACACACACACACACAAACACACTTTTTTAAGGTATATTTTTAACATTCTAAATAATTGGCTAAAATAAAATAGTCACCTAAGGAAAAAGAAGTCTGACTAAAGTCAATCTTCATTTATCAACTATTAGCCTCTTCAGTTTGACCACAGGATATTTTTTGGTGGTCAAATTTTCTTTTACAACATAGAAATCTAACCTCCAGGAAACAGAGCTCTGAAGACAAATATATTTTTCATGAATTCAAGAAAGATCAGCAGATGATAAGAAATTAAAATACATACAATAAATATATTAGACAAGTGCATATATATATTCATATTGTTATACACATACGTATTATACACACACACACACACACCCTAATTTTACTATTGGCACTGGAGACAGTTTTACAAATGTCTCAAGCAATCTCTGATCCTTCGCTCTAATAAGCCTCTGACCTGAGACAGTACACTGGGCAGTACACTGGTGCCTGCCACATACCAACAATCACAAGAAATGGAGAAGGAATCTTGAGCAGCATGGAAGAAAAGACAGTAAGTTCAAAGCTTGTGGTTAAAAACAGAAATGAGCTCCTGGCTTCTCCCGCTTCTCTCTTCTATTCACTTATTCTTTCAAAAACTATTATTGAGCATGGCTTCTCAATCAATCACTAGCAATCTTTGCTATTCCAAGTGCTGGGGAAATAGTGAAAAACAAAAAAGTCTTTCATAAATTTCTACTTAGAATAGCCCAATAATGACCAAACCAAAGTCTACAAATTCACCCAATTTGAGACTAGATAACAGAACCCTACTCAATTTACTACCTCCCAGTTAACTCAGTGAGCAATGAGTGCTCACTATACCTCACAACACTCTGCTGAGCTCCATAGGTAGGTAAAATGAAAGGCAAGGACATGATAAGTCCCTGCCTCAGAAAGTCAACATCTTCCCCAATGACAACATACAGAGGTATGAACTGGATGGAGAAACAACCAAAGCAGAGTATTAGTATCCATCCAAATGTCTGGCACAACCAACAATGACTATAAGAGAAAAATGGCATTCTACTCAGAAGAGTAGTTCCAAGAAAACAGTACTGCAATATATTTCAATGCTAGGCCCCACCACACCACCAGTACAACACGAAAAAATCCACATCAATATATCCCAAGAATGTTACTGATTTTCTAAGTCTAGCTGAGATAAAGCTTTTTAGATTTATGATGAAAACAAAACAAACCAGCAAGCACTCACTGCAAAAGGGCATAGTTCTAATTTGAGGAGTCTCTATGCAGTTTCTGGCTCCCCACCTCCTTCTTTTTGCCTTTAAAAATAAAGAGGTAATGAGCTGGGGAGCCTGGGTTTTCTGGCACTGTGTCAAGACCACACAGTACGTGGAAGCAACAGAAGCTGCTGGGCTTGCCAGGGCTGTGCTCCTTCTGTGCTCCCTTTGGCCATGACCATAAGACTGCATGTCTGCACTGCTTTCAGATAACCAAAAAGGAAGACTTTTTAAATCAAACCAGAAAAATGACTTTGCTTTTAGGATGTGTTTACTTGTTCTGGTGTTTTCTTCCAGGGTCATGGGGCAGAATTTTTGGAACACAACTAAAAAGAATGTGGTAACTCTGGTGAGCCCTTCTGCCTTGACTCTGCTTGAGCCCAATTGAGCAAACCCAACCATAATTTTTCAAAATTGCTTATCTTGTTCTATACCTCACCACAAAGCAAATAACTTAATTCATAGTCTTCCTGACACACAAAATGCCTCCAAGTCCTTCTATCAACATGGCTTTTCAATACCATTTCTTATTCACTAATAAATATTTCTACTTTTTTATAAAAGAAAGTTACAGAAATGTACTTAAGATCTAGCACAATCATTCAATCATTATTCAAATGAACAAAGTCAGTCTTAAAAGATCTTTTATCAGCTATCTTTCCTACACAGAAAAAAATGAAGTTACTCTAGCCTTAATCTCCATTTTTTGAATGATCAAACCTGTAAAAGTGCCAAGAGTCATTGGTGCCACTGCTAGAGGTAAGGGTCACACTACAGAATGTCTACAAGACTATGTTTAAATGCCTTTAAACCAACTATAAATCAGACAATAAATAGTAAACTGCACAAGAAAGAATGTGTGATGTGAGCAGATAGGGTAGAAGACAAAATGTTCAAAAGAAACCACTGTCTGTATTCAGGAGTATGATTGCATAGGAGTAACAACTTCTAATGTGCTATGGTATAGCAGATCAACTATGGTTCACAGCAATGACCTCAGTACTTCAAAATATCTAATAAAGAGGATTTTGAACATTCCCAACATGAAATGATGAATGTATGAGGTGACAGACACACCAACTACCCTGATCATTAACCATTTCATCAGGCATTTGTATACATGTACTGAAATGTCACATTGTACCACATAAGTAGGTGCAATTGCTATGTGTCAATCAAAACTAAAAGTATATTTTAAAAAAGAAACAGGTGTATTATAAGGAAATCATATATATATATATATATATATATATATATATATATGATTTTTTTATCTTTCATATATATATATCTTATATATGTATATATAAGCCTTTGGAAAAAGATTTTTAAAAAAGTGGCTTGACTATGGAAAAGTATGAATCATTACCTACAAGGAGAGAGGATAATGACAACAGTCCCTCAACACACTCTATATTGTCCTAATGTGTAACTAAGGATATCAGCTAGTGGTAATGTTCCTTTAAAAAGCCACAGCCTCTGGCTGCTTAATTTTAAATGAAACTAAGACCATGTGGCAACTAAATGCAATGTATGATCCTAGGTTGAAGTCTGGACCAGAAAAATATATATATTAGTGGGATAACTGGCAAAATAATTTGTAATATGTAAAATGCATAATAATATTGTATCAATGTTAATTTGCTGGCTTCATAAGTATACTATGGCTATGTGAGACGTTAACATTTAAGGTATCTGGGTGAAGGGTGTTGTGGAATTCTTTATAATATTTTTAGAAGTCTGTAATGACTTAAAAATGAAAAGTTAAAAAAATTTAATGAGCTATTTATTATGAACACACACACACACACACACACACACACACACACACATACACACAAGCACAGCCTCTGATAAATTCTTGACTTGCCAATATTTATCTTCCACATGGAGGAATCAAAATAGGGATCTTTTAACTTGGCCTTAATACTGACTCAAATGAGCAACTAACTAGAGATAAAAACATTCAGTTACAGTCTTGCTCATGCCAACCTCCACAGAGGAGACTGGACAGTAGTTAGCTTGGGCCACAAAACTGGAGGAAGGAACCTCCAGAAAATACAAAACTGGGTGTAGGGTTATCAAAATAGGGAGCAGGCAGTACAGTGGCTATCCTCTAGAATAGGTACAGAATGACAGGCATCTTCTACCTTATCTCTGAGCTAGAACCACAGGTATGAGGACCCAAGAAGCACATGTTAGTCAGCTGGAGGGCATGTCTATGTCAGGGGATGTTTGGGGTGAATGCTCTTTTAGTGATTAGGCTCTTTGGCTCCTTTGGCTCCCTGAAAAGAGATTGAGTATTTTCTTCTGTGAAGTTATTAAAAAAAAAAAAAAACCTTGGCAGCACTTGAGAAAGTATAGCAGGTTGCTGACAGTTGCCAGAGAAGAGAAGGGCAAATAATCCACAGGTATTGTTTTGGATCATGCAGCCAGATGAGCTTGGAGAATAACAGCTCCGGTGTACAGTTGGCTGGAACACCATTAGTCACCACTCCAAACCTAAGCAGCAGGGTGGCTGCTGGAAAATAAGAGATGCCTGCAAAGACAAATGGGGAATATCCTTACAGCTAAGAAAAGTGCACTAGAAAGAGTTAGGATTGTGTCTTGGGCTTTTGAAGGCAGAACTGAGAATAATGATGGGTGATAATACCAAGGCTAGAAGTTTGAAAAGGAAAAAAGAATCACATTATAATAGAAGAGAATAAATTGTGAATACTGATTGGGAGAATAATTTGGTAATATCTCTTAAAACATTAAATGTTTACACCATCCAACTAGTAATTTCATTTGATATGTATCTTAGAAAAAAAGTGTT